TCACAACTTCCTCCTAACTTACAACCTTAATGCTTGACCTCCACAATTCCCTGTCAAGGGCCATGTCCTCAGTAATCCTAAGTCGCGCCATGTCCTGCCTGATCACCTCTCCCCAATTCTTCTTAGGTCGCCCTCTACCTCTCCTCGTACCCACCACAGCCAGTCGCTCACACCTCCTCACCAGTGCATCAGTGCTCCTCCTCTGAATGTGCCCGAACCATCTGAGTCTTGATTCTCGCATCTTGTCCTCCATGGGGGCCACGCCCACCTTTTCTTGAATATCTTCATTACTAATCTTATCCATCCTTGTATGCCCGCACATCCACCTCAACATCCTCATCTCTGCTACTTTCATCTTCTGGATGTGTGAGTTCTTAACCGGCCAACACTCAGTCCCATACAATATGGCATGCCTAACCACTGCTCTATAAAACTTACCTTTTAGTAACGGTGGCACTTTCTTGTCACACAGGACTCCCTACGCTAACCTCCACTTCATCCACCCCACCCCTATACTATGTGTGACATCCTCGTCAATCTCCCCGATCCCCTGAATAACCGACCCAAGGTACTTGAAATTACCCCTCTTGGGAATGACTTGAGAGTCAAGCCTCACGTCCACTCCCACTTCCATCGGCTTGATCCCAAATTTGCACTCGAGGTATTCTGTGTTCGTCCTGCTCAACTTGAAACCTTTAGACTCAAGGGCATGTCTCCAAACCTCTAGCCTCTCGTTGACACCGCCTCGTGTCTCGTCAATTAGAACTATGTCATCAGCAAATAGCATGCACCATGTCACCTCCTCTTGAATATGATGAGTTAGTGCATCCATCACCAGGGCAAATAGGAATGGGCTGAACGCAAACCCTTGGTGCAACCCCGTAACAACCGAAAAATGCTCAGAGTCGCCTCCTACTGTCCTAACCCGAGTCTTAGCTCCATCATACATGTCTTTAATCACCCTAATGTTGGCATCCAGAACCCCTTTAGCCTCCAAGCAGCTCCATAAGATCTCCCTAGGAACCTTGTCGTACGCTTTCTCCAGATCAATAAACACCATGTGGAGATCCTTCTTCCTATCCCTGTATTGTTCCACCATCCTACTAATAAGGTGTGACGACCCAAAAGGGTCATCACCTGTATTCCTATTCCCTCTGTACTTCTGAGGCCCTGGAAACCTCATTTGGGGTTGCCTCGAGTTGTGTGCGCAGTCCGGGCGCGTAGCCGGAAAAGTTTAAATATGAAATTTGTGAGAAAAATTGTTAAATCTTGGTATTTAATTGATTAAGTTTGACTTCGGTCAACATTTTGGGCAAACGGACCCGGACCCGTGATTTGACGGTCCCGGAGGGTCCGTAGAAAAATATGGGACTTGGGCGTATGCCCGGAATCAAATTCCGAGGTCCCAAGCCCGTGAAATGAATTTTTGTGTGAAATTGTTTTCTGGAAATAATTTAGGAAATTGGAAATGAAATTTGATTAAAAGACTGTGGTATCGGGCTCGTATTTTGGTTCCGACGCCCGGTACAAGTCTTATATACGGCTTAAGTACTTTCTGTAAAGTTTGGTTGAATTTGGACGTCGTTTGACGTGTTTTGGACTAAAAACTCTAAACTTGATGTTTTATGAAAATTGGAAAGAAATCCTGGGTCTTGAGGCCTAATTTGATGATTATGATGTTGTTTGGGCGATTTGATCGCACGGATGAGTCCGTAGGATATTTTTGAGTTTATATGTATGTTCGGTTTGGAGCCCGAGGGCTCGGGTGAGTTTTGAGTAGGTCCCGGGAGGTCTTAGGCTAGAAATATCAGATGGTTGCAGGTTCAGGTGTTGCAGGCCCCCAGCGCGGCCGCGGTCATTTCCGCGCGGTCCGCGCTGGAAGCCGCGCGGCCGCGGTGTGTTCTTGCGCGGTCCGCGTGGCTAGGTTCAGAGGGCCAGTGGTTCAAGTCGACCAGCGCGGCCGCGTGACTAATCAGCGCGGTCCGCGCTGGGTAGGTTCAGAGAGTGGTTTTCCCACTCTTCCTCGGCGCGGCCGCAGGGCATTTTTGTACGGTCCGCGCCGGGTCTTCAGCACAGTATATAAAGTCGGGATTTTCAGTCATTTTTCACTTTTTCAAAACCCAAAACATAAGAGGCGATTTTCCAAACGATTCCACTTCTTCAAAACGATTGGTAAGTGATTTCTAACTGATTTTCTAAACTCATTAACATCCTTAAACATAATTTCAACTTCAAAACAAAGATTTTAATGGGGAAATTGGGAATTTAGGGTAGAACCTAGGTTTTCTAAAATTGGGGGTTTTGGACCTCAATTCGAGGTCCGATTCCAAAATAACTTACATATTTGAGTTCATGGGGGAATGGGTAAACGGGTTTTGGTTCGAACCTCGGGTTTTGACCATGTGAGCCCGGGGGCATTTTTGACCTTTTGGGGTAAATTGATGAAAAAGCTATAATTAGTCATTGGGTTTGATTTGTTTAGCACGTATTGATATCATGAAGTCCTTATTGCATAGATTTGGTTGAGTTGGAGCCGAATTCGAGAGGGAAAGAGATTGTGGAGAATTGTATTGGCCGTGGAAGTTGAGGTAAGTGTTTGGTTTAACCCTAGCTTGAGGGAATAGGAGTCGAGTCTTGTTTGCTAATTGTTAAATGATCGAGTACGATGTATAGGCATGGTGACGAGTTCCTATACATCGGTGTCTAGCATGATCGTGAGTCCTTGTATGTGGACTGTTTGGATATTGTTATGCCTTCCATGCTTAATTGATGGTTTCTTTGCGTTGTAAACACCTTGTAAAGGATATTGTGATTGTGGAACTTCGTGGAGCATTGGTTTGGTCTGAAACATAAATAGTGAGAGTATATGAGATGAGAAATGCCTTGGAGCTTGTCACGTGTGCTAATGAGAACTAGGATATGAAAATGAAAGAAAAAAAAGAGAAATAACGATTTACTCTTGCATGGTCATTATTGGTTGTTTGTGTACCCTTGTTGGGATTTCCTTCCAAATACTTGTTCACTCCCTACCTTTTATTTGTGACTGTTGCTTGGGCAAGGTTGAGAGGGAGACAGTACGGATCGGGTTGCACGCTGCAACAGTGATAATTGTGGATCGGGTTGCACGCCGCAACAGTGATAATTGTGGATCGGGTTGCACGCCGCAACAGTGATAATTGTGGATCGGGTTGCACGCCGCAACAGTGATAATTGTGGATCGGGTTGCACGCCGTAACAGTGTTGAAATGTATTAGGGTCGGGTTGCGCGCCGCAACAGTTATTGATGCAAATGTGTTTAGTGTTGGTATTAGTTTCTTGTTCGCCTTAAATTTTGAATTGCACCTAGATTGATTACTTTGGATTTACTGTTAATATTGTTATCTCCCCACAGCATGTTTCCCCTCCCATACTGTTAGTTGCCTTGTACTTCGATTTCTGCTGTATATTTATAATTGCACAGGTTTATGTGAGGTCCAGTCTAGCCTCGTCACTACTTCGCCGGGGTTAGGCTAGGCACTTACCAGCACATGGGGTCGGTTGTGCTGATGCTACACTCTGTGCATTTTTTTTGCATAGGTCCAGGTATTGAGCAACAGCAGCACCATTAGCACGGGGGCGAACCTTCAGTCCAGAGAGACCCGAGGTAGCTTGCAGGCGTCCGCAGGCCCGGCGTCTCCTTTCTATCTTTACATTTGGCTGTCATCTCATTGTACCCGAGATAAACAGATTATGTTTCTTTCAGACTTTGTATGTAGTACTCCTTAGATGTTCGTGAGTATGTGACTCCAGTCCCGGGGTAGAGATATATGTGTTGGAACTTCTGTATTATCGATCATCTATCTACATTTAAGTCTTCCGCTTATGATTTTAATTCCGTCACCTTTATTTAATGCCGTTAATTGTTAAAAAGGAACATGTGTTTAATGAATTTGTTAATTAAGTTGGCTTGCCTAGCTCCTATTAGTAGGCGCCATCACGACCCTCGAGGGTGAGAAATCCGGGTCGTAACATAAGGTGGATAGCTTCTGTGGTAGATCGCCCCGGCATGAACCCGAACTGGTTATCTGAAATAGATACTGTCCTTCGCACTCTTATTTCTACCACTCTCTCCCAAACTTTCATGGTATGACTCAGTAATTTGATACCCCTATAGTTGTTACAGTTCTGGATATCGCCTTTGTTCTTATACAACGGAACCATTGTACTCCACCTCCACTCTTCAGGCATCCTATTAGTCTTGAATATAACATTAAACAACCCAGTAAGCCATTCCAAGCCTGCTCTACCCACACACCTCCAAAGTTCAACCGGAATTTCGTCTGGCCCGGTAGCTCTGCCCCTTCTCATCTTACGCATCGCCTCCGTGACCTCATCGAACTCAATGTCCCTACAATAACTTAATTCATGGGTACTGTCGGCATTCGTCAATTTACCTAGTACAATATCCTGATCTCCTTTTTCATTTAGAAGTTTATGAAAGTAGGTCTGTCACCTCCTCTTAATCTGGTCATCCCCCATCAAAAATTTGCCGTCATCATCTTTTATGCACCTCACTTGGTCTAGATCCCGAGCCGTCCTCTCTCTCACCTAAACCAGTCGGAGCCTTTGTTCCCCAGTTCCTCATACAGACGAGCAAAAGCTGCAGTCTTAGCCTCCATGATTGACATCTTCGCCTCCTTCTTAGCTACCTTATACCTCTCACTGTTCGCTCTCCTCTCCTCCTCACCAGTGCTCCCTACTAACCGCAGGTAAGCCTCCTTCTTTGCTTCCACTTTACCTTGGACAACTGCATTCCACCACCAGTCTCTTTTGTGGCCACCGATGCGGCCCGAAGATATCCCTAACACCTCTCTCGCCACCTTCCTTATACAGTCCGCCGTCGTCGACCACATAGTGTTTGCGTCCCCACTACTTCTTCAAGCTCCCATTGCCGATAACCTTCCTTCCAACTCCTGAACTTTATCCTTAGTCAAGGCACCCCACCTAATCCTCAGACGGTCTCATACTGGCCTCTTCTTCCTCCTTATCATAATACCATTGTCCATCACCAAAAGCCTATGCTGCGTTACGAGGGTTTCACTTGGGATAACCTTGCAATCCTCGCACAACCTTCTGTCGTATTTCCTGAGGAGGAGATAGTCAATCTGAGTCTTCGCCACCGAACTTTGGTAAGTAACCAAATGCTCCTCCCTCTTCGAAAAACTTGAGTTCGCAATTACTAGATCGAATGCCTTGGCAAAGTCCAACAGCAAAGTGCACCCTCCGTTCCGCTCCCCGAAACCGAAGCCGCCATGCACCTCAGTATAACCACCTGCAGACGACCCAATATGACCATTGAAATCTCCTCCCATGAATAACCTCTCGGAAGGCGGAATACTATGAACGATCTCATCCAACCCCTCCCAAAAGCGCCTTTTAATCTCCTCATCCAAGCCTGCTTGCGGCGCGTACGCGCTAACGACATTTAAAGTACACTCCCTCACCACCAACTTAATAGTCATTAATCTATTCACTCGCCTGACCTCTACCACCGACTCTCTAAGATGGCTATCTACCAGGATACCCACTCCATTCTTACCCCACAGGACTCCAGAGTACCACAACTTATACCCATTCGCGTTTTTTGCCCTCGATCCAGCCCACCTAGTCTCCTGGACACACGCTATATTAATCTTCCTCTTCTGAAGGATCTTCGCCAACTCTATAGACTTACTCGTTAGTGAACCTATGTTCCATGACCCGATTCTCAACCTATAGGCTCTGTTAGCCCCTCTACCTCCCATGCCTCCCGTCCCGCCCCCTGACCCCCGCCCACACTCTGTCCCACCCGAGGACACGCCCTTATTCTATCATCCCAGACTATATCCACTACGCCTACGACAATCTAAAGAAGACTCGCTAGTGCACAACGGACAACAAAATAAGCTAGAAGGAAACAAGTGACTACTAGCACACTAGTTGAATGATTGAACTATTGCGAACTATTTTAACATCAATTTATCTAACACCAAAAGGGAAACAGTAAAACGGGAGGTACCAACTCCCGAGAACAAAACTTGTGATTGATTTGTTGTACTCGATGTAGTTGTACGCTCATGCCCCGCTTCCCACCGCCCTTTGCTGACACTCGCCCAGGCTGCTCTCCTCTGCTATTGCTTGTGCGCCCAACTTGTCTCCAACACTTCAAGAATTTCCTTGAAAACACAAAAAATACCACGACCCAAAACCCAAAAAGGGGCTTTCACTGCTACCACTGGTGTAGCCCCGATAGTAGCAGGGGAAATGTAGGGAAAAAGCAGAGAACTACACAACACACATATTAATTTAATTTCCAACACCAAATTAACAAGCAATACAGTATTTCACAATAAGAAATTAACGTAATCTGCAAAAAGCCACCAACTTTATCATTAACCATCCACAAATCCGACAAAATTGCAGCGGTAAAAACTCAAAAGCGTACAATCCCTCAAGTCAGCAACAGAAGAGCAAAGGAACAGATTATTAAAGTAACTAAAATATAGGTATAGGTAATTTTCAACCGACCGGATCAATTTATTTAACAAAATAGAGATTAAACAAATTCACGAAAGGCAAAAAATTGACGAGAAAATAAGATCCGTGCTCAGGTTAATAGATCTGAAACATATAATCAAATATGTACAACATATATAAAGGAAGACAAAAGAAGAAAGAAAATTCAAAGAAGAAAACTGGAACACGAAAAACACACCACGGGACCAAGAAAAATAAAGGAAATGCCGGGTTGTCACCGCCTCCACTGGTGAACACGGATATCATCGAAGAACAGCGGTGGGGCAGAGACACAGCGGGTAGAGAAAGAAGAAGAAAGAAGGAGAAAATAAGCACAGGGGAGGGGGTTGGGCTGCAACCGGACTAAAAGAAGAAGAAAGGTGAGACAGGCCAGCCCGGGGACAAGTCGCCGAAAAAATGGCTGCTGCTAGGGTTAAAAGGGAGGGAAAAAGATAAAGTGAAGGAGGGGGGGGGTAGGGGTGGGGAGGAGGGCAAGAGATAAGGGAGGAGTGAGAGAATAGAGAGAGGAGAGGGTGGGGGGGTCGGGGTCACTTACCTGGTCGCCATCACCGGAGGGTTCGCCGGCAAAATAACAGTCGACAATTGAGGTCGAGGAGAGAGAAAACGAGAAACTCAATAACGGTCTAATGACAATTGAGGTCTCAAAAATAAATCTATACCCTAATTTAAATAATAAATCAACCCGACCCATCACCCTTATTTTACTAAACCGACCCGACTCAGTACCCTATAATAAACCCCAATCCTATTATATTACCCCACGACTTACTACCCTTCGAATATGTTGACCCAACGTTTGAACCACATTTTCGACCATCAACGTCTTCAATACCGTTAGGACCTCCATAGTTCAACAGAATATCATCACCATGTGCAGAATTTTGAGCCAACGTCACTTTAACAACAACAGCCAACAACAGGAAAGTGGAATCTAAGAGAAAACAGAATTTACTTCCTTCTGTCATTGATGCAATACGCGCCAATGGTAAAAATCACTGGAAAACAAAAAAAATTGCAAAGAAAAGATCAATATCCTACTGTTGAACTCCAATAGGAAAGCTGGATTTTTAAGTCCCGATAAACAATCAATCAGGGTTTTAAACCATTCTGTAGCTAAAAACCAGTTGAAATGAGCTCACTTTTCAAATAATGAGTTCACTTTGTATTGACCCATCAGCTATGGTGAGATGAGTATTTGGGAGAAGAAAGCAGAGGTGAGAGAGTGGTGTAATAATATATGATTAGGGCTTATTGTAGGGTACTGGGTGAAGAAATCAGAGGTGAGAAAGTGGTGTAATAAAATACAATTGGGGCTTATTGTAGGGTATTGGGTCAGATCGGTTTAATAAAATAAGGGTGATGGGTCGGGTTGATTTATTATTTAAATTAGGGTATAGATGGAATGCACCAAATTGTGACACGTGTCAAAATCTGGTGCTAAATATATTATTAGTGAGGCCCGTTAAAAAAATGGCATATGTGAGCCACCTTATACACGGCAAAGGCATATGTAAGCCACTTATACACGACAAGGGCATATGTGAGTCCACTTTTTAATGACGGGCAAATGTCTACAAATTTTGTATAGTTCACTGGCATATATGACCTTTTCTGTATATTTTATATTGTATTCAATTTCACTATATTGAATCATGCGTATTCAAACAACAAAAAATCAAGAAATATGGTGTATACCACTCTATTCAATTTGTCTGTATACACTATTATTCTTTAACTATTTCATATTGTATTCAATTCGACTGTATTTAAATAATAAAAAATAATAAAAATTTAATATTCGACTATATTTAATTCACTATATTCATTCGTAACTGCTTTTATAATGTATTCAATTTACTGTATTTAATACGGTTGTATTCAAATAACAAAAAATTTAAAAATACAGAGATCTGCCACAAAAAATAACCTTCGGAATACATAAATACACGCAAAAAAATAATATATATCTGTACATAATACAATATATTTAAGTATATTTCTACAAAATTTAATGTATTTGTATCATTGTATGCGACTCAATAGCAAAGAGTATTTGTATCATTGTATTTGTATCTGTACTCAATTGCCATGGATCCAAAATCGAGAAGTTTCAGATCTAGGATTAGTGTTAATTTGAGATTTCTTAGGGTGTAGGTGTTTACCAACAAGGGAAATACTAGAATTAGAGTTAGAAAACATAGATGTGGGTCCCACGCCGCCATTGTTGGAGTTGTAGGATTGGACATTTGTTGAGTTTGGCGATTTTGCTCTTGAACGGTTTTTGGTGGGAAAAGTGACTGTTTTCCGGTCGTTGGTTATTATTTTGGAGTGTGGATGGATAGCTTGGGTGGTGTTAGGATTGGAGCTTTGTGAGGTTGAAGGCATATTTGGTAATGGTGTGTGCATAGTTGTGGGGGTGGATGTTATCAGATTGGAGGGGGACGAACAAAGGTTCTTTCTGTGTTCAAGTTTACCACATGCAATACATAACATATTGAACCCTTCGTATACTAGTTGTTGTTTATGGGATCCAATATAGATATGGGTTTTAAGAGGCATTTCTAACGGGACTTCAATACATATTCTTGCATAGCGACCCCGTGTAGTTGCTGACGTGCAGGTATCGACTTTGAGTAGTGACCCAATCTTTTCCCCAACACGTTGAAGTATTTCTAGATCATAGAACTCCGTAGGTAATTCAGGGAGTCTTAACCAAATGGCGGTGTATGTTAGTTGTGTGTTGGAAGCTATGAATTTGGGTTCCCATTTGCGGACGGAAACAAAGTTATTAAGTACAAACCAAGGGCCATTATGTAAGGCAGTGAACATGTTTTCTTCCTTTTGGAATTTCACTAAGTAGAAATCACACCCTAGATCGATTAGGGGTAGTTCCTCCATTGGTTTCCATAGTGTTGTGAGTTTTGTGCGTAGTGTTTGATGGCCCACTTTCCGGCCATATACCTTAACTATAACTGAATATTTCCAAGGTAAATATAATCTTGACTTATCAGCGGAGGTAAGTGGTAAGAAGGTGCCGTTGTGTAGATCATTTATGGTGGATTTATCCGTTAAATCTAGTTGAGAGTGTGTTTGTTGGCAAGTGGTGGAGTATGGGCTGAATTGGTTGCTACTGAGCAAGGTTTGGGCAAAGGTGAGTTGTGGTGGTGGTGTGGTAGTGCATAGAGATGGCAGACTCCCGATGGTGGAAGCGAAGATGGAGTAGGATAACAGATCTTGCCATGGCTACGGATTGAGCTTTTGAAAATCTGGAAAAAAGTTGTCGAAGAAGAAGAAAATCTAAAGCAAAGTCACTGGAAATCTGAACAGATCTGGCCATGGCGGTGAGTCGCCGGAGAAGACGGCGGCCTCGACGAAGAGAGAGGGAAAGGGAGAGAGAATTGAGGGAGAAGAGAGAGGGTTGAGGGAAATGTTGAGGGATCATTGTATATATTTATATTTTGCAATAGAAATATAAAAATCGGCTATAAATAATATAAATCGCCTATTTAAGTTGTCCTCAACGATTAGCCAGACACCTCAATTGGCCCTTTTATCATTTAAACACTTCAAGTGACGGTTAAGTAAATCAATAGATACCCGAGTGTAGCAGACCGGATGCGTGAGTTACACTTGCCATTGACGTTTCAAATGAACCAAATAAACAATGACACGTGTAATTTGTAATAAAAAAATTGACATTTGTAATTAACAAAGAAATACACTTAAAGAAAAAAAAAAACTCTTTTTTCCTTTATCACCCATAAACCACACAGAACCATCCAATTCGGCCATCATTTTCCTATGAAAACCAACACTCCCCTCATTCTCTCTAAAATCATCAGCTTCCCTAGTTTTGATTATCCATATACAACCATTTTATCACTCCCCACTGTCATAGATCCACCCGATCTTCATCCCACAACCATAGATTCATCAGATTACAAATAAATCAAGAAAGCTCAACGATTCGGAAAGGAAGCCAACCTACCCTCAAGAACTCACCCAGAAAGGCTCCTTCAAAACTTAATTTGCTCCACCTTCGAAATTGCATAAATTTGACTTGTTATTAAAATTTCTTGCCTTTTTGGTATTTATGGCATTGAAGAGCAGTGCAATACAGTAATAGAATGATTTTGAAGGTGGAGTTTTTATATTTAATGGATATATATAAATTTTTATTTATAGGGGGCTATGGTGCATTCATGAAAAGAACCCGGAAGAAAAAAAT